AAAAAAAAATACATGTTTATTCAGAGAAAGTACGTTTTTGTGTCTGATTTCGTAACTTAATTAATAGTTAGCACTAATTAATTAGCATATTTGAGGTCACCCCCGGGAACCATTAAGATTGACACTTAGATCGTGAAAATCCGATCATTAGAACAAAAGTTATTCAGGGTGATATCTTTTTTTTTTTGCTGACTGTACATAATTTTTAAAATTGCACATGTTATTTTTTTTTATTCTAATATTATGGGTGCTATTCTCGCATTTTGTAGTGGGAAAAAAATCACACCAATTATTTCCTTTTTTCGCATTTCGTAAAGAATCACCACATTAAAAGAAAGAACTAAAGATTGTGATATCCATAGCAGTAACTACTGGAATAAGATTGATGGCAAATTAATGTTAAGTATAATTTTTACTTTAAACCTTCTTACCTAGCTTTTGACTAAGTTATCGTTGGATGAAAAAAATGCTATATTTATGTGCAAAATATTTTGCAATTTTCTAAAACAGTTCTTAAAATATGACAAATATGCATGCTGATAGCAAAATTAATATTAAAGGGCTTTGACGTTTGGACACTCTCCTCACCAAACCACTTGAGGGTTACAAATCCAAAGGTATGTTCATTCCATGAATATGAATAAGATATTGGACTTAAATGCAAAACTACAAATTGCGACATAGAATTTTTAAATCGCGTAAATACGAATCAAGATGCATGTTCACGTGAATACGAATTGCAATACATAGCTTTTAAACCATGTATAAATCGATACTATTACAACAGCGTGAATACGAAGCGTAATATTGCATTTTTAAAACGCACGAATACAAACCGCAACATTACATTTTTAAAAAGTGCAAATTGGAATCGAGAAGTACAATTTTTAAATTAAGTGAATACTAACCGTAACATGCAACTTTTTTATCAAGTAAATATGAAAATCGATTATTGATACATAAATCATAATATTAGCATATCTCAACAGAGTTACAAAGATTCAAAACGGAAAAAATCCTCTGAACCAAAAAAAAATTACACGTATGTAAAACTATCATTACCAGTATTCACCAGTTTCGAAATTTCATCGGATTATAAGTTCCTGATTCGCAGAAGTCTGATAACAAATGGCTTTAAGTTACAATGCATTATTTGCGTGAAAACCACATACCCTGTTTCTAGTTTTTAGACTGGGAATGCAGGAGCATTCTGGAATACAATCACCACTGATCAGATAGTTAGATTAAAAGTTATTAAAGGTGTTATCTATTTTTTTAGCACTCTATATTAACAATTCTATAAAATTATCAACTTATTTTTTTAAGTTATTAACAAATTAAAATAAAACATATCAGCAATTACAATATACAAACAATATATTTATAAACAAAGAGGCAATGTAAGCATTTGATTTGATTCAAGCTTTTTTTTTCTTAAATTCACACTATTTTAAAATTAAATTGGGAGATTTGTATTCATATGATTTAAAAATATCAAATTGAGATTTGTTTCATACAATTTAAATAAATAAATCTCACATCGATATTTTTTTATTAAAACAATAACATTCTGTGGATAAACGATTTTCTACATAATTTTTTTATTACTCAAATTTCAGGTATTTCTTTAATTATTTGAAAAATTTTTTTGCCTTTTCACCTAACTCATCACTGTTCTATGAGTTAATATTGAGTTTTAGGATTTACATTGATTCAGACAGATTTTTTCTCAGAATTTGCGGTACTTACATTATTTAGCAAAAACAACGTTTTGTATGTCACGTAATGCCACACGCATAAATGATAAAGAATTTTTTTTTATAGAAATGGACAAAAGACTTTTTTTACAACAAATACATTAATCAGAGTTCTCCTTAGAAATAAAAAAGAGCAGGGTGCTTCCTTTCTGAAAAGGATGCTCACTTTATCAAAATGTGTAACATTATGCAAGAGCTGAATTTATGCTTAACAATTTTTACCGCTCATACTATTTTATGAGTATATTTCAAATGGTAATTCTCTCTCATTATCAAAATAAAATATAAATTTGAAGTTTATAAAAATATTTAAAGGCATGCCGCATGTCAAAATTTTTTTCCAAAAAAAGCAAACTAGCAAAAAATGATTTAATTAATTGATAAACAACTTAGCCTTTTAACTGAAAATTATGAGGAAAAAAACATATGAAGATAAATTTTTTTTTAATAAAGGCAAGGGTATGTCCAGACATTTTGTGAAAGGTCCTGTTTTTGTGAAAAAATTACTCTTAATTTGTGAATGTAAAATAAATGTCAAGTCACATTCTTTCATCCAGGGTCCTGCTATTATGAATTTTTGCAAAAAACTTTTTTAAGGAGTTTTTCAATTGTAAATAGATACAAGATTATGCTCAACACTGTAAAATTATAACACAAAAAAATTAAATTTTCAAAAATAAACAGCAATTGCTGTTGCTAAATTAGAAATGCAACATACATATGTTTGGTATTTAGCCTATACTGCTGAATATTCATTTCGGACGAATAATGGAAGAAGCGCCTGCCGAAGACAAAACTTAATTCGTTTACAATAGTCTTTCTTTTTTCCTTCCCCCCTGGGAAGGGTTTATTCGATTAACAAAACAATGAAGATAAACAAATTTGCGAAGGGTCTGATTAAAGGATAAATTATTTTGTGAAGGGTCCATTTTAAAGTTAAAATATTTTGTGAAGGACCCGTTTTTTTGGAAAAGATATTTTGAGGCCCAAATTTCTTCTAAGGTATTTATTTAAAATAATAGCAATAATAGTAATAAGAATTAAACCTATAAGCACAGATAATTTTACCAATAATTATTTGAAAACTATGAATATATTTTTCAAAATAGAATCTGAATAAAACGGCAGTGTTTTTAAAGGATGGTGTCTTACTTATACAAAAGGGATGCATTTATTAGGATCAAAGGGCAAGAAGGGTGGGCGCCCTTCAAATAACAATTGGGGAGAACACTACATTATTTATGAGAAATTTCTAGTTATAAATCTTTGAACCGATAACTTATTTAGCAACCTTTTATTATAACATCCTTCTTAGAATAGGGGTTGTAGTTGTACTAACCTGTACAATAGCTGGATCATTAGGAAGACCACTATTCAAAGTTTGTTGAGGCTTTGGAGGCTCACAAACATGAAGATCTTTTATGTCACTAGCTCTAAATATGATATATTCATAGACTTCATCTCTAGGAGCAACTGGACGTTCTGTTGGCCTGTCTTCAGTACCAAAGGACTTCACTAAAATACATCATTAAAGAATTTAATCTTTTTACCCCTTAAAAAAATCTGTACATGATAAAATAAAATAAACTTATTTTAATTTTCTTCTATAAAGAATTTATTTAGAAACATTAGTTACAGCATACTTCCGATATCTCGAAATCCTTGTTATGAAAAGTCTCTTCTCAAAATCTTGTTTTGAAAAAAAAAAAAAAAAATATTCTAAATAGAAAATAAATTTTTTCGAAAAAAATCGCAATGTAAGTTTAATGTGAATCAATTTGTTTCTATTTAATGGATAATTATTTTCATCATACTTTTTTAAAAAGAAAATTATTGTGCTTAGATTATAGTAAACTACCATTACATACATATTTATTAGTAAGTACAGTAGGGAACCGATTATCCGGAACGATCGGGACCATCGCTATTCCGGATAACTGATTTTTCCGGTTTTCTGAATCGCTACAAAAAGCCGTTTTTTTCATTGTTAAACCCAACTAAAAAAATTTTTTCTTGGAAATAATCTTAAGAAGAAAAAACGATGGAGTAATACGCTAATGATTATTTCCAAAATGATGGTAAGGTAAACATCTTTCAAAAAAGAAAGAAAAATCCTAAAATCTTATGAGGAAAAAATTTTTTTTTAAAAAAATGGCGGGAAAATTTATGGAATTTCATTCCGGTTTTTTGGTTTTCCGGTTTTCTGATTTCCGGATAACGGGTTCTGTACTGTATTATGCTTCATGACTCTACATTTTAAAGTAATATTTTAGAATATACTTTTCAGAACAAATTTAGTTCCGAACATATTTCGAAAATCCGCCATATCTTAGGATCTCTTCAACATAGGATCCTGTGAACTCTTAAGATCCCTTCAACTTAGAGAAATAGAGAATATACTAGATTTTGTAAGAATTATTCAGTAAGAAGTGAAAATAACAATTCTTAAAATAATAGGTTTCAAATAGCTTTATATTTTAAAAATTATAGATAAAAATAATAAAAAATTTTATACTCATGGTTTCTTAATACAAGTGCTTTTGTTTAATTAACAGAAATTGTTTCAATTGCTATAGATCTAATAAATCGTCAACATTTTTAGAGAAAATTACCGAGCATTTTAGGTCATCAAAATTGCCAAGTTCAGTTAGAATAATTATTAAATGAACAGATTGTTGCGACAATCACAAGCCACAAAGTTATACAAAATTCACTTGAAAACTAAATTCTCAACACTGGCACTTCTATGGATTCCAATATAATTTGGAATTGTTCGTGAGGAGATTTCCATATTGTGATCTGAGACAGAATAATCGGCAACCTCCAGGCAGCGACCTGCAAAAAACATCACAGAAAGGGTCCAAATGGAAAGGTATAACTCGTGGCCACCCCTGGGCAAATATCTACAAGCTTTTTTTCGAAGTTGCAAGTGCAAAATCTATTTTGCCCTTTGGCGACTCTAGTTGGTGTGACAGATCACGATACAGAAATATCCCTTGTTTGATAGAGCAGTTACAAAATTATAAGGGGAAAGAAACGAAGAGCCATTAAAAACTTTTTTAACACCATTAGCAAGTTTTTGTTAGAAGAGGAGAAAAAAACAAACACATTTCCAACTTATGAACACTATTTACTCAACAAGGTAATAAAAAAATTTTCAATTTTATTTGTTCTACGGTCTAATAATAAAAAAAAAAGAAATATTAAATTAGCTTTAAAAATTAAAATGTTCAAAAAATTTTAAGTTTAAATTTATTTTTTTTATCAAACAAAATTATTTAAGGCAGAAAAATAATTTCTGACTCACATAGTAAAAATTATTTGTCTTTTTCATTGATTATAGTTTTTACAAAACATTCTGTATTTTTTCATTATTTCTATATATAATTTGACTACTATCTGTCATAATTAAATAGCTAAAAAAAATCTAAATGCAATCAGAAAAAAGTTATCTAAAATATGATATAATTTTTTTAAATATTACAAATTTTTTTTATTTATAAATTTAAATATAAATAAAATAAATAATTAATAAGTGTATGATATATTNACAAGGTAATGAAAAAATTTTTTTTTTCAATTTTATTTGTTCTACGGTCTAATAATAATAATAAAAAAAAGAAATATTAAATTAGCTTTAAAAATTAAAATGTTCAAAAAATTTTAAGTTTAAATTTATTTTTTTAATCAAACACAAAATTATTTAAGGCAGAAAAATTATTGCTATAAATTGAATTAAATCAGACATAATTCCCTATTCAAAATTTGCCATACTTTTTTCCTAACTTCCAGCACAATGACCAACTCTGATTTTTTAAAGATACCATATTTGCTGAACTTTAGAAATTACTCTTGTTATCGAACAGTGAATTCCACATAATTTTTAGTTGCAAATAAGTCATTGAATGAATAATGACAATTTGAAAAGAACTACCTGAAGATTAGAACTATTTTTACCTCTTATGTTTAACTACTATTTATTAATAACCATAGAAAAAAAAAGAATATAATAATTTTGATCTATTATGTAGAAATTTTTCAGCCATTGTTCGTTTTTATGTAGCTTTTGGTTAAGCAACTTCCCTTTATTTAAAGCTTCAAACTTATATAGCATTAAGAATAGTTGTGTTTATTTAATTAAGGAGGATAATTTATGTTTTCATAAATGCATTCCATTTAGAACGGGAATATCCCCTTTTAGTGTTTAAACAAGGGAAACGAAATACATTTCATTAAGATAAAAAATAAGTAACTTGTAAACAAAAGATAAAAAAGCTAAAGGATTATTACTATTCTATCATAATAATGAGATAACGATGACTAAGAAAAGACCAGATGAAATGAAACCAGACAGATTTTAATAGAGATAATATATGAAACGAAATTAATAAAATCTATAACGCGCCAACGAAAAAGAATGCTTATTAACTCAGAGCTATAATTCTAAATAAAAGCTTATATTAACATTTTCGTTAGTATATTCTGCACTTATTGTTAATACAAATATAGTCAGTAATATTCATCAGGGGACAGCATTTATAAGAGAGAGAAAAATACTAGTGTTTACACTGTCTGTATAGAAAATGACTGTAAATAGGGAATACAATTAACTATGCCGATTTTACAACGCAGATGTATATTACATAATAACACTAATGTTAATGCATGATTTCATAAATTATACATTTCTTAAAAAGAAAATATGACAAATAAAAGTGTCACTTGTATACCTTTAGCAAGGGCAACAGTTGATTCTTTGGTATCAATTGTATACAAAATGCCTTCATAGCGAATTTCAGATTTCGATATTAGGCTTATTTTACTCCCTAAATATGGAATACCACCACTCATGTTTATAATTATAAATAATGCACCGGAATTTTAGGATGAAATCAGATGGCGATGAAAATAGCGGTATTTACATTATTTTTGCGGCAAATGAAAGCTTCAGACAAAGCGATGATTCAACATGGATGTCAAACTAGCTGCTGCTGATATCCCAGATTTGAGTACGCCATGCTAAATGGACGATTTTTTATTTTTTGACTCCTCCTCGAAATTTTCCACAGGCGCAGAAGGAAGCAGAGCTGCTTAAGCCCCGCCCATTTTAATAACAATGTTTTTATTTATCACATTTGATTTTCGTAAATAAATACTATTAACAATGATTATAAACAATTCTATAGACAAATTAAATGCAATTATGAATCGCAATGGTTTAAAAATAAATGAAATCCATAACGGTTGTGAGAAAAACATATGTTTTAATTTGTATTGAATATTCAGTTTCTGAAATGTTAAAGATATTTTCACTATGAAATTTAGATATCATAATTGTTGTGGTGTATTAGTAATCAATTACTATATTAATATTATTGATTATCGACTCCTGTGATATTGTACGTATCACCTAGGGTCGACGTTGTCGGAAGAGTCGACGTGTTCTTCTGTTTACAAATTACTGTTGATAAGTAGGAAGGGCACACTGCGCATGCGCTGTTTTCTTTTTCAGTAGTGATGTAGGAAAATGGCGTCGACGAAGTCGCTGGAAGATATGTTGCTCTCTTCAGACATCGACGAGTCGGCGGTGAGTGCACTTGTCGGATCCCTGGAATCTCAGCTGTCATCATCAGATGCACACTATCCACGAAATGAATTATCAAACACAACTATCAACAATAATCACATAGCAAACGCATCTGTGCCTGACTGCAGTGCGAGATTGCCCGACGGACAAAAACATGGTGCACTTTTAGGTAGTTTATTAGAGCAAGGGAGTCAAAATACAAACAAAAGTATGACGAACTCTCAAATTGTTGGACTCAATGCTGTTCAATCACAAAATCTTTCGAATGCTGTTATAGTTTCACTACCAGGGGCCTTACCCGCGAGTGGCTATTTGACTCAGGTTAGTTCAACGCAACAGCCCTTGTTAAATTCATCGGTTGTCAGCAGGCATGTAAGTAATGCCGATATAAAGCTTGTTTATTCACCTCACACCACTGCTCCACAATTTTCTTCAGCGGCTACCTCATCTATCGTTACTTCGGGTGTTATTACAGCTAATCACATGTCTCGCAATAACTTCAAAATTTCTACTCTACATAATGGGAATTCAAACTTTAACACAGGACAGATCGCAACGTCCGGTGTGCCAGTTTTATCGGGGCCACAGACCAGTGCTGCGACTTTAAGCGCGATGCAGAATTTAGCAAATATTGCATCTCAACAACCTCGCTTACAGGTAATAAATCCAAGCGGGCAACAACATCAAATCCTGACTCAACAACAAATTAACGCTTTGAACACTAAAAGTGGTGGCGTACCGAGAAGCCCAGTAGACACCAAAGGTAAACAAATTCCAGTCACAAGGACAGACCAAAACTCTTCAAATGACCATAGACATTCTCCATCACTGTCCAATCATTACCAAGTACTGACTGGTGGACAGGCATCTGTGATTACTTCTAAACCTTCTCATATATCTAATCAACCTGTCAATGTAGTCACTGTGACAAATCCAAGTATGCTACCGCCTGGAGTTCAAATTCTCAATGTGAATTCCCCTAGATTTGGACCCAAAACATTGGCACCCAGAGGTTTGGTGCTAGGGAATCAGGTTCGAATTGCTCCTCAATTAATTCGACAGGGAACTCCACTGCAAGTACCCGGACAAGTAAGGCACACTTTTAGTCAATTGAATTATAATAAATTTATGTCCATAAAGTTTTTTTTTTTTTGTATGGTAATGGTAAATCAAGATTTTTGGATATATTACAAATCCAAAGTAGTGTGCAAATCACCTTCTGCTTATTGATTCAAAAGTAAATTTTTAAGTGTTCATGAAATCTGTCAGTTTTATAACTATTTCATACAATTTAAAATACTGTTTACACTTTTTATTTTGATTTCAAAGATATAGTAAATTATAGATTTCTGTCCTGGTAAAATGAGCCAAAATTTGGTGACAACTGACCAGTGTGACCAATAAACTAAAGAAAATGAAAGTAACATTCATTAGAAACGCTGTTTGAAAAATGATGTCATAGTAAGAACTCTGATAAAAATAAAAGTTAATAAGAAAAGGTAAAGAAAAACAGAAAAAGAATTGTCCTTGATTCTTTAAATATAATTTTAACACTGAGTTTTTTTATGTTACTGGTTATCTGTCTTACCATATAGGAAATAGTGAATAGAAATTTAGATGTATTAATTTTGATATGTTCAAAACTATGGCTCTTAAACAATCTTTTAACCTGTTAGATCATGCACATATCTCCACCATGAAAAATATTTTTAGCCTAAACCTACTTAAATAAAATTTGTTTATTCTATTAAAAAATTATTAATTTGTGGACCATATCGACAATGGAGAAGCAATGATCAATACTAGTATTAGAATTGATAACTATTATTTTTCTTCAAAATTATAAGTTAAACTTTTTATATATACAGTACTCTTGATATTTCAAAGTTGAGGGAACGCTCATAGCTGCCAGCTCTTCTGGATTTTGCCAGTTTCTCTAAGTCTACTCGTTTATTAAATTTCCTCTTGATTTATGTACTTTTCAGGAAATTCCCTAACATTGAGTAAGTTTCCTTAAAAAAGATCCCTATTGAGATTATTGCTTGCTTGAATCTTTAAATAAATGTCACTAATACAGTAATAATAAAGCGAACAATAATAAGCGAATTTTAAATAATAAATAAGCGAACCCTATTTAATTCCTATTACTATTCAAAATTATGAATAATCATAATGGATAACATTTCAATATCATTTAATGTGAAATCATAACTGGAAAATATTGGCAGATTTTCTATTTTGATGACTGTAAAATTCCCTATGTGTAAAATATTTAGTATATTTTGCAACAATTATCATGACATTTATATTTTTTCGTAAAATCTACTGGATTTCTACCTGTGTTGGCAGCTATGAATGCTAAAAAAAATTCGAGATATTGAGTTTTTGAGGTAACAAGTTCAGAACTAAATATGATTTAAAAAGTATAGAAAATAAAAATATGACTCTAAAAAGTAGAGTCATGAGTCATGAAACATAAGAATAACTACCATTAAATGTGTATGTCATGATAGCTGACTATAAGCTCAAATACAACAATGATTATTTTATTTTTAAAAGCGAGACAAAAATAATTGTGCATTAAATAGAAAAGAATGGGTTTACAACAAACTTACATTGTGATTTTTGTGAAAAAATTTAACCAGTGAATTTAATTTTCTATTTCAAAAAAGGGGGGGGAAATATTTTTTTGACGTAACAAGGTTTTCGAGATATCGAGAGCATACTGTATGTAGTTTTTTTTAGCAATGAATAAAATAGGTTTTTAAAATTTTATCAAATGATTCAGTCTTAGTCTAAAGAAATGCAAAAAAATAAATAAACAAAATATCTGTTACTTACTTGTTTTCTTAATGAGTAAGAAGGGTTTTTTGTATGAAATAAAATTTGAAGCTATATATGTCATTAAAACCGAATTCTAAATATATTAGCAGCATACTGCTATTCTGTCTAATATCAGTTCAGAACTGTTTTTTAAGACGATAAATTACAATGCGAAATAACAATTTTTTATAAATGGGCAATTCTTTAGAAACATGAAATTTCAACAAAAAAAATTTATTTTTCATCTTTAAAGTAATTACATTTTTTTGTATATTTAGTTAGTTACCTTACAGACAATAGTGTAGTTTATTGACATTTGCTCAAAAAAATAGAAATTCGCAAAATTTTGAATGCTTTGAAAATGACTAGATGTCAAGAAAACGTTCAATTCAAGTTATTAGGAAATTGTTCAACTTAATTGGGAAAAAAGTTGGAAAATTAATTTTAACCTTTTATATAAATAAGTTCCTACATAAATATTTTTAATTTAATTGCATAGTCGCTTTGGTAAATGTCCAAAATATATTCTAGGTTTAGTTAAATAAATTAATGCCATTGCCCAGTATGCACTACATCAATGTTTTTTTATATTGATTGTTCTCCTAATTTCTCCTCAACAGATATCAAAGTACCGAATTAATATTAAATCTGATATAGCAAATATTTCAGACATTCACCAAAGCGACTATGTGATTGTTGACATTCGCCAGTGAAAATGGAATTCTCTTGATTTTGTTCATTCACTTTAACATCTTCACCAAAAGCTACTTTTTTATCAGCATACAACTGCCCATACACCATTTGGTACACCCTTTCTATGGCTGGCTTATGTAAAATGCCAATGTACAGATGATACATCAGGCGGGGAAAAAAATTATTTTATTTCTATGTTGTGTTGACACTCCAAAATGTATTTCTTTCAAGTTTTCTCTCTGTGAAACATTACTTAAAATCTTCTTTCTATGGGCCCAAATAGCACATGAGTCATATCTTAGAGATTCTGAACTTGTGGACTTTTCTGCTGATTTTTGATAAAATACCCTTTGTGTGTATAGTAAATTGTGTTCTTGAAGACCCAAAACCTGTAGCTCTGATGCATATTTGATATTATAGTTCTCACTGACATCAATGTGAATTGAAACTGATGATGTGGAAAGTTCTTTTTATTTATGGATGAATTGAAATTGTCCTATTCCGGCATATTCATATGTTCAATCAATGTATTTTTTAATTTTAAGTGCATGTCCTCAATTCTTTCTTCTTGTATTTACCACTTATCACATTAGTTTCAGATTTTTTATTTCATTTTTGATACAGTATCATTTCGTCAGAATTAACTGTAATTTGTATTAAACTGTAATTCTTGACTTTCAAATTTTTTAAATTTTCTCTAAAAACAATCTTCTGTTGTAACTGTACAGCACATTGTGAAATATTTCATCATATTCTGTTTTATTACTTTGACATAATGAAGTATCTTTACCAGGGTTGGCAAGTTTTTGACACATGACAGTTTTTACCGTCATGTCAAAAAACCCTCTGTCAAAACTGTCAAAAACCCATAGTTTGGGTAAAACTATTTTTATTTGAGTTTAACTGCTTATAATTTAAAATTAATTCACTTTTGGGCAATAAAATTAGACAAAAAGTTGTTAAAAGATATTTAAGAACAGATTCTTGCATTTTCCCAACATGATTATATCAAAACATAGGCTATTTGAAGTAAAATATTAGGATACTAAATAAAAAATTCAACATTTCCAAGCATCATTTTGTTTGGCATATTACATTACTGAAGAATGTCAAGATTGATTACTTTCATTCATAAAATCTTGCTTTGAGAAGCACATGTACACATAAAAAGAAAGCCTCATAAAATAAACTTTTTTTTTTATCAATTTTTGCAATATTTTACACAGAATTGAGACATGAAAGAGCCTGGGAAATCCTTTTAGAGTTTCCTTGCAACATTGCAATAGCAATGTTGAAGGACTCATCCATACTAAACTCAGAAATCGACTGGGCAATGAAAAATGAGCAAAATTAGTCACTCGCTATCGTATGCTTCGGCACGGTGACTCCGACTACTGAACATGTAATTCTATTTGTAATTAAATTTCATTTAATGTGCTTTTTAAAATAAATAAAAGTTTTTAACTTGACAAAATAGCAGTAATTCTTGACTTGGAGTTTGTTAGTAGTTACAAGTTTTGAAAGTTTTGTTTAGCTTATTTCTAATATTTAAGAAATGCCAAATTTTAAATTCTTTTTAGTTCTTGAATTTATTAATAGTTCCAAGCTTTTTTATTTATTTCTAATAATTAAGAAGCGCAAAATTTTGAATCCTTTGCAAATCAAACTGTAATGATAAAAGTATCACTATTTTCAATAAGTATATTGCAATATTTCTGTATGAATGTATATCCTTCTATAAGAATACATGTATATAGTTTCAAAATCAATAGCAATCATTTACAACATTCATTTATGTGAATGTGAAAGGCAAATATGCCATAAATTAAGATAACAGTAGGTTTTTACCAGTAAAAACGCAGTTTTTACCACTGTCATGTCAAAAAACAGTTTTTGACGGCAAAAACCCAACCCTGATCTTTACTCATAAAATAACATTTTCATATTCAAATGCTTAAGCATGTATTACGGGCATCAATAATAGGCTGCACAATCCAGCATGGCTTGTATCTGGAAAAAGTACTGTAACTTATTGTATAAGTATGTTTTTTGTTAAATTGCTGATGTAAAGATTTTACTACTCTTTAGTTTTTTTTTTGCTTGTTAGTCTTATTAACAGTGACCATTTCTTTTCTTCCTGAGTGAGAATTTTCATCTTTCTCCAAAATATTCTTTACACCATCTTCAATTTTGAAACACTTTGAATTAATTTTTCTTTGGGAAATTAAATTTGACCTTATCTGATGTAAGCTTAGTGTTTCAGAAACATCTCTCTCAGCAATTTGGTATTTTTTAAAAATTTTGCCTCTTACAACTTTATCAAATAACTGTTTTTGTTTGTGAATTTTCGTTTCTTTACAATTTTCCTCGTATTGAGGAGTTTCTACAAATAATAATCTCTGTTTTACCTGATGTGTAATGCTACAAACTCCAATAACTTTTTTCATTCTTTTTCTTTGGAGTTTCTTCCTTCTTGTTGGAAATATTGTTTTTCAACTTGTAATATTGCTGTTAAGGTTTTTGCATTTTCTTTCTGCATTTATCAGTTTAATTGGTGTTTCTTTTAGCATTCTAAATGCTTTAGCTCTGTCTTTACAAGTTTTTTTTCTACCAGAAAGTGTTCTTTTATCTGTATGTGGGGTACATAAACTCTTAGAAAACTCTAATGTCCCTTATATTCCAGAAAAAGCATTTATTTTCTAGCTTGTCCTGTAGTTAGTAGTATTTTTTTTCTCTCTTTCACTCAACTTTGCGTTTGGCTTTACAGATTTTTCTTTCTTTTTTTTTAAAATCAAGTAGCTCTCTATCATTTTTAATTCTCTCATACCCTAACTTTTCGACTTCTCATTTTTTTGGTGTATGTATGTATGTAAGGTATGTATGTAGTCAGGGCGTATTCCGATATTCTCCTGCTTCAGATGCTGAAGAAGCACAGATGGTAGTACCCTTGCATGAAAGAGCGCAAATTTTAAAATTACACCATGACGCTCCAAGTGCTGGACACTACGGAGTAGAGGGTCTTGGCGAAGAATTATTTAATTTTTTATTTTTGTCATTTTCCTGGTAATTGTGTTATTGTCCTGGCATTCCTAAGCCAAGAGAATGACAATTTAACTTGACTTTAATTCAATATTTAGGCCTAACACTTTTACTTAACAACAGGGTTTTAAGAGATCCTGCCCTATGTCTTAAAATAACTCAGTCAAAATTATATAGTTTGTTATAAATGATTCCAAGAAAACAGGAAAATGTCAATATAAAAATCTACTCACCTTTTAAAATTTCTTAAAATAAATTTTAACTCAGAAACTTGGTTCTCTATTCTTGCAAGCAGATATTCAGATAATTTTTTTTAATTATTTCGAAAAAATGCAATTACAGAGCATGTTAAGATAAAAAAAAATTCTTCGTTTTATAACATTATGCTTGCTTCATGTAATGGTAAAATGTAAATAAAAATAAGGTGCTTTTCTAAATTTTATTTTTCAGCTTATTTTTATAATTTATTTTTATCCGTTATCAGTGTAAACCAATTTTTATTTTATGTGTGCAGTATGATTTTATTAATAATTCTAATATTTTCCAAATATCATTCTTATATAAAAGGACAGAATTCAAAAATATAAATTCATAAGCTACATAATACTGCATATTTATAATCAATGCTTAAAGCTTCAATGAGTTAAAATTAATCTGAAAAGGTAGTTAACTCTAATTTATTATTAAACCATTAGTATTAAAACACACTATTTTATTGTATTGATGTATGCAGCCCAGTTGACATTTTTAGTCTTTATCATCATTCCATTATTTCCAAGTATGTTTTTTTAATTTAAAATGTAAATTACTCTACATTTTTCATGCCTTTCTTTCAGTAAAAAATTCAAATTTGTGGATTTACTCAATTGAAAAAAAAAAGGAATAAATAGAAATACATGATCGTTTTATTAAGTAAATTAATGCAAGCAAATATTGTAAATTGAACAATGCTAATTAATGACATTAAATATTGATAAAGGACATTTTCATTTATACAGAGAAAGGGGAACTCACTCTTTTACAAGAATTTGAAGTGTTAAGTAGTGTTTAAGCATATTCATATTCAAAATCATCAGTAATTTTTTCCTTTATCATGTTAGCAGGTTTATTGAGGGAAAATTGATATTTTTTAATTGTTTGTTAAAAAAAATCAATTGATAGTTAGTTTTCATGATTATATTTTATAATAGTTTAATTAATTTTAATTTAGGACGTAAAATATTATTTAACACTTTTTTGTTTTGTTTTTTTCTTTTCAAACTTGTCTGATAATGTCCGCATTGCTATGTATTAAAATATTTTAATTGTGAACAGTTAATTAACTATTCAACTAACTGTGTGTGATATTTAGTTGTAAATAAGTGTTACAATTTAGATTGCTTTTATATGAAGACGTGACATTAATCAAGCTATTAACATTAATCAAACCAAGTGTTTTTGAGGCATTTGGTTTTAGTATCTTCAATTAGAACTCTGCAGTATGTATAAAAACTGAGAATTATGCAAAATAACTGTTAAATTATGAAAAATTTATTTAACTGTTTATTTATTTAACTGTTTAATTTATTTAACTGTTAAATTATACTAAAATTTAAAAAAGAAGAAAAAAGATCGCCATTTAATAATAAGTACTGAATTATAGATCTAGAAAATTCTATTTGTTTTCTTTTGAACCTAGATAATATTTTAAATAATAAAATCAATATTAAAAAATAAATGTATTTAAGAATCGTATATATGCATAATATAAAGAATTCAAGTCCAGTGTTCGATGTAAGGCATTTAGCATCAATTATTTTTTAAAGTAATTTTTTTCTTCAGATTTTAGGTGAATTTATTTAAAATTCAGTTATGTATCTATGGAAATTTAAAAAAAAAAAAAAAAAGGATAAACCCTTTAAATTATTATTTTCTAATTTTGTTTTTTTATAAAACTTTCTTTCCACCATTTGTATGTTCAGTAAATTTATATGGTTATTATGAAACTTTTTAATGATGAATCATATATTTAATAGTGGCTTGTTGGTTTGTAAATTTTTAACAATAAAGCCTGAGTTTGTTTTTTAATTTTTTATTTATTTTTTTATTTAGGGTGCCATTGCTTTACCACCTGGTATGAGAAGTGCTATTGTTGTTCGAGCTGATGGTAGCCAGTACCACGTATTTAATGTCGCCGCTGGGCCACCTGGTTTACCAGCAGGATCAGCTAATTCTCCCAACACTACATATAGGTTGCAAACATTGGCGGTATGAATCTCCTCTTATTTAAAGGAAATTTAATTGTTAAAATTTATCCGGATCACTACAGTATAGTATTTTTACCGTGTGTCATAAGATATCTCGTTATATTAAGTATGAGTTATATTTTCATTAAGGTCGACTCTGTTGAGGAAATAAGCCTACAAATTTCAAATATGTTTATTTTATTGTGTTTAAATGCATTTTTGTTCATGTAAAAATTATGAAATTTTTAAATGAATAGTTTTTTTTTCTTCCTGTTCATTGCAAATGTGATTTTAATCATAGTCTGTCAACTGATTGAAGTAAGTATCAAATCTATTTCTAGTTGTTATAATCAGTATTAAATACCAGAAGGTCACTCGTGAAAGAAAATGTCACTATGGTACTTTTTCAGTCATAAAGAAATGCAGCATCAATAGCGAAACAAAAAATTATCTAAAATTTTGTAGGATGGAAATATGAATTTAGTTTCTGCTATTAACTGAAGAGTCTATTAGATCTAGAAGATAATTCTTTAATTTAGTATTTCAAAAATTTGTAATTTATTGCTATATAGTTGCTTTTAAAAATTTCTCCCTAATATAAAATTTGTTTGAATTTTTGCATTTTTGGTTTAATTATTTAATCACCAAAAAAATCACATTTATTCTAGAATTTTATTATCAAAATTTATAAATGTTATTAAAATAAAGGATTACATCCATTTTCTACTACTTTTTATAAGTATGGTTTTAACAAAAATTATAATTGGTCATGGTAGTCATTTTATTTATTAGCGTATAATTCACACATGTCATAGAGTGCCCAAATATGACAATATCCCTAAAATTTTATTAGCTTTATCAATTTCTTTTAATTACAGAATATCTGTCATTTAATAATTGAATGGTCACATGTGGTCAAAATAATTATCAGCTGTTGCCAATGAACATTGTGAAATACAAATCAATTTAAACTAGTATCACATGTAAGAGAAACCTATTTGAAGATTTGTAATAATGGTTTATCTTCCATAAAACTGAAAATGTTAAGATTTTTATACAATTACAAAAAAAAGTGCTATATCTGAAGTTTTTGGCTGTATATATTTTTAACAAAAAGATCTTGATAATATTATCCAATAAAAAATGAATTACAAAGCATTAATAAAAATGTTACTTTTTTAGGGGCCTGTGATTAGAACTCTGTCACACCAGCAAGTAGTATCTGTTCCTGTTTCATCTGCTGGTGTTAAAACATTACAGGTTTGTTTTGATTTATTTTTTTAGCCACCCTTTTGGTATTTTACTTATTTCACCATCAAGGTTCATTCTAGACCTTTAATGGGTGCAGAGTGCTGAAAATGGAAAAGGGTGCCCTTTAGAAAAGGAGCTAGTTATTAAGATTCTCACTATTCAGGTTCTTAATTTTATTTATTAAAAGATTTGTAATTTGCAATTAAAAACAGCTCAATCAGAAATAAAATGTAACTTGCAATAAATTCACACTATTAAAGTCATTCATGGTTTTAAAAACTGTTTCAAATGGTTTCCATGGTTATATCTGTGGAAAAAAGATTTTAAAAAATATATATATATTTACGTTCACATGAAAACACAAATTGAGCATATTAAAATTTATTACTTAAATGTGTGATTTTAAAATTGTTCAGCCTAATAATATATTTAAAATATTCAGATAAAAAATAAGAAAAGCTCTTTGTAAATAGCTGGAAACAATAAATAATTGTAATTACTGTTAAAGAGAAGAAAAAAAAACAGACAGGAAACATTATGGAATTGTAGCAAATAGAGAATTGATTGTTCAAGCTCTAAATTTACATTTTGCAATAACACCTTATTAAAAATATCAGAATTGAAAATATCCAATCGATATGACTGGAAATATTGTTGACAAAAGACAAGGATTTGTGCAGAAATCAGCACAAACAGATTAAATATATTGGAGTACATAATCAGAACCTGATATTCTTCATTGATAGGTAGTTTAATTATAAATCTTATTTAAAGATCCTGCTAACTTCTAGAATGAACCTTGTCAAACTACCATGATTTTTTCTGTCCACCAAATACTCAATTAAAATTTATATTCATTTATTAATATTTGCATATTCGTTCCTTAATTATTTTGTTTAAAACTTACAGACTGGGTCTGGTACTATTGTTAGAACTTTGACTCCTCAGATGACAGTTGCATCACAAGCACTTTCTAAAAGTCCGGTAAATATCATTGAATGCATTTTTAAGTTGACATGAAAACTTATTTTTTATTCTGGTTTTCAAAATGATTTACTGTATATGATCTAATATAAGCTGGTCTATGCACAAACTAACAATACACCTTTTTTTTTTTGGAGAAAAAAAAATTATCCGAAATTCAAAACCCAAGCCAAAAAAGATAAGTATATAAGGCAAAAAAGGAGGAAAATTTTTTTTTCTTTTTTCAATTGCTTTTTTGAACTACTCAGCATAAAAGGTGATCCATTAAAAGTACTGCTGAAACTTTTTATTTTTTTCCTCTCAAACATTTTTATCTACCTGTGCAGATTAACATCATCAATAGTTCAACTTGGTTGAAAGCCAAAGTAAAGCAAGCACTAACAGTGAGAGCTATTTCAATTCTAATGTTATGCTCTTTCTATTCAATAGTTTTAATTGTTTGCTGTTTTATAAGGAAAAATGAATAGTATAAGAAAATCTCATTAAAAGAAATATTCCCATTCCACTGTTATTTATTGGCATTTAATTTTCAACTATTATTTTATGTATATATATGCTTTGCACAGACTGTTTCATGATATTTAGCAATTTATCTATCACGCGCAACAAGCTGGAAAGCATTTTGTTTTTCAGTAGTCTTGTTTCTCTTACTTTAATTTACTATAATTTCCAATAAATTCTCACCCTGTGGCTATTTTTTCTTTGTGTGCAATTGATTCTACGATTAATATGTTATGCTAATTGTAGTCACTACAGTTGAACCTTGATTCAGCTTTTCCATGTCTTTCATTTTCCTGTGTGCATCGCTTGCCCGTCACAAATGCGATCCTTATAATGTTATTAATGCTTGTCTAGATTGTTATAGAATTGTGCTAACAGATTCCTGTGTCAATTGTTCATAAATTATTCCAATATTTAAAAAAAAAAAAATCAAGTTATTTCTTTTTCATTTATTTTTTGTTGAAGAAAAGTTGTAAATCGTGTTGTTAATAATACAGAAAAAGAGTATGGTATGGGTTGCAATTCAGGGAAAATGCCTCTAACATCATATTTGATATTAATGCATCAATTAATGAAAATATTGAAACTTAAGGTGTGATGTCGTATGAAAAAATAATTGCAGAAACTGGGAAAGTGCAAAATAATATGAGGATGGTGAAATGGAACCACAGCCAGTACAAATATTTCCTTAAGGATTCAAAAGTTATGAAACGTTGGGTGGGGAACTTTTTGTATTTGCACTAATTTACAATAATCAGTTAAATCAGATTACTAATTTACAAATTTCAAACATTTTTTTGTGTTGTGAATAAAAAATGATCAAACTATTATTTTTATGTATTTTAAATAAATAAATCTTTTTGCATCATAAATGTTTTTGGTGTTTTTTCAATTGAAAATTAAAAGACTTTTATTCTCATTATAAATTTGCTAGTTTTGAAGTGAATTTTCATGTAAAACTTTAACTTCTTTTTCCAGTCAGTATTTTTTTTTTTTTACCTTCATTGTATCTATTGTTTAAAATGATCGTCTCTTGAGAAACAATCGAGGTTCAACTGTATTTTTTTTTATTAGTTTTAAAACTACCTGTTATCAAAATAATGATTATTTTTTCTATAGAATTATCCAATGAATGGATTTACTTTTATAATAATTAAAATTATTTATATATCAAGTCAAAATGAAGTTTAGAAAATTGTTAAGGTTGACTTTACATTATATTTTAGTCTGTAGTGAGTACTGTTGTACAACAAACAACAACCAGTGTTTCTCGAACTACTTCAGCAAATACTCAATCAGCTGGTGCAGTAAGTATATATTTTGCTTTCATTTATATTTAAGTTACATTGTTTCTCAATTTTTAAAATACATTTTCTTTGGGAGGGCATGGGGAGATTAAGCAATTTTTTTCCCAATTTTTCATCTCTCAGGTTTCTTCTTTTTGAGATTGTAACTGTCAATTGAGAGACAAACAAACATTTGATTTCTTAAAAAAATCTTTTTCTTTCTTTTCTTTTTTTTGCTTAATAATGCCCTAAGTAATTTTTTATTTGTGGACTCCTTTTTAATATTTAAATTATTTATTCCTTTATTTGAATTAAAATGTAAAATACTTTCAAATTGTAAACAGATTTTTGTATTTATGTAAATTCTTATTATTTTCTTATGAGCCTGGTAGTGGGAAACCTCCTGCGCAGTAGTTTAATTTTGCCCTTTGACAAAAAGTTTTTATTTCTATATTATCAACTTTCAGGTTTTTTCTTCGTTTTTTAATATCTTTTTCTTTTTTATTCCTGTATTGTGCTTGGAGTGTCTTTAGTTTTAAACACTATGTTTAAAACACTTCTAAACTTAGAATTATCAAAAATGATTTTACTGAGCACCTTAGAACAAGCTTTAAAAAAAAATATATATATATTTCTTAATTTAACAGCATTTTATAAAATTTAAATTGGATTTCAACTAGGTTAACTATTGTTAAATACTGTTGATTTCCAAGTTCTGCTGTTTATCGTATACTCGTTACTTCATACATGTTAAATCAGGAGCATTTTTTTCGAATCAAAATCGAATACTGCTCTTAAGTTTCAGACAAAAAATATGAAAATAGCACTGCAGATTTATACCATAAATTCTGCTACCATGCTTATGAGATTTTAAAAATGTTGAGCTAATTTAGTGTGAGAATATTTGTGTTTATTTGTAAGCTTAGTTTGTTTATGAAATTGTCTTTAGGTCTGTCTGCTTGATAATTTTGAATCTTGAGCATTTAGTAGTCTCCATCTTCAATTTTTTTTTACTCATTGAACAGATTAATTTATAATATATTTAAAAGAAATTTGCTTGGTTAATCTGTATTTACTGAAATACTTAAAACACCACTTTTACATTTTAAACCATACATACTGGTAAAATTGAACTTTCTATAAAAAAAAATTTTCTTCATGTCTTTAAGATAATACTGTTGTAAATTTTTATTAAAATTTCCTAAACAATTAAATCAAAAAAGTCATAATTAGTATTATACGGTCAATCATTCTCTTGTCATCTATCTTCCCTTAACATAAAATTTTCGTTTTATAAATTTGATGTTTTTGACGAATTACGATTTGATGTATTGAGGAATTTAATTTTTCCTTTTATATGAAGTAAGTTAAAAAATTTAATAAAACATTTTTGTTTTAAAAAATAAACACACATCTAAAATGACGGATAATATATAATCATTTTCAAAAATTTGTTGAAATGTTTATTGACTATCTTGTATTTTACATGTCTTGCACAATAAAATAGTAATCGAAAATTTTTATACGAAATTCAAATTTTGTACAAGTTCATATGCCAACTGCATTCATAGCAGGGGTCAGGGAGAACAGGGAAAATGTCAGGAAAAGTTGCAATTTTTTACAAAATACCTGGAAAATTCCTATATCATACCTGGAAAATAACCAATTTTAGAATTATCAGTAACAGTAATCAGTTATCGAGATTCGAGTTAAATGATTCTAACATCTACTATATTTATTATATAAAATTCTACTTTTTAGTGAAACTTACCCTTGTTTCCATTCTCATTGTATTATATGTTTTTACTCAGAAAATATAGTATTTGGCATGACAAATAAAAAAAAGTTTTCAGGTGAAAAATTGCATGGTATAAATAAAATATGGTACGGATTTTCATTGATATTTACCAGATATACCTGGAAAAATCGGGGAATTTTTTTCTGAAATTGAGTGGGAACCCTGTCATAGTTTTTGTATAATTCCTAAAATTCTGATGAGCATTAAATAACTCAAATTACAATTTTTAAAACTTAAAGAAGAGAAATTACTTGATCTCTCTGGTATAAAGTTTAGACTTCTGTTAGGAAACTGCATTTTTTTTTTCCTTCCTATTCGTGCCCTGAATCAAATTATGCTTCTGGGCACCTCTTTTCGTCTTTGTAAATCTTACACTAGCTATAAAGGCAGTGTGGTTAAAGTATTGATCTATCATTGTCTAAGACTTAGGGTTTTTCACCCTGTAACAACTTGGAGCCTACCTTGGTTCAAGTAGCTTGTCTGGGTAGTCAAGGTGGTCAGTGCAAAATGATCCATGACCCATTTGACTGACAACAGGCTATTTGAAGAGTGCTTTTTTAAATTCTAGCATTTCTGCTGATAAAAATTATGGATAATGTGCAATGATTGATCAACTTCTCAAGTGTAGTCCATAACCTTGAACTATCCTAATTTTCTTTTTAAAAAAGAAGTTAAACGGGTAGAAAATATTTAAACTCTTTCTTAATTTATTGTTTTATTTACTTAAATGTGCATATCTTTGTAATAATTGGTTTTATCGATTGTGACGTATCAAATAGTCCTTTGTTTCATTAATTTTTGTTTTTGAAAGGATTTCTGTTATTCTGGCTACAATCGTGACCACTACGATGCTTATAGGGTAAGTTATTAAATGATTGGAACAACAAAAAACAAAAGAAACAAAAAAAAAATACTATCTGCACATACCACTTTGATTCCATCTCTATGTGCTCTCCTATTTTGGGTGTGTGTTTGTTGGTTTGTGGCAGTGCCTCTTGTTATCACTGCTTTCATTGTCCCATCTATTCCCTCCCCTAGCTGCTTTAAATTGCTGTTTGCTTTCTTTGAACTGTCATAAAGCTTTTTGTTGTTGAAAGCTTCAAAGAATGGTGCCAATAATGTAATTGTTGCTTTTCCTCAAATCCTGTGGCATCCATCATGGATGTTTTTGTTTTGAATGCTTTATCAGTTTAAGAAGCCTTTGAAAGTCTTTATAACTTGCAAAACCTGAGCAATATTAAGTTGTTTTTTCTCTTCTCCTGAATATCTTGTTAAAGGCATTAGTCTATTTTAACATTGTTTTTATTCAAGTTTTGAAAGCATAACTTGTAGTTAAACATTTTAATAAATGTTTTATGAATATTTTCTTTTTACCCTTTGAGGTTCATTTTTTACAAAAGATTTTTTTCTCCCTGCACGATTATTTTTTAAACTAAAATGGTATGTTTTAAAAGTAGATAGAAACCACTTAAAAGCCAATTTTACCTATTGCATTACTAATGCAATCTGTCTGACGCAAGATAGCCTTGCTTCCTGTCTCTTTACTTGGAATATGTCATAGGAAAAAGAAAGAAGAAAAGAATCTTTACAAAAGTTTCTAAATTCCCGTTTAAAAAAAAAAAAAAAAAAAAAGGAAATCAATGATTAAAAAAAAAAAATTCTATTTTTTCTACTCTGCCTTGTGTTTGCTATGTTTTGCTTGAGATAAGCTGTGAGCTCTAAGCACTTGTACAGGGAAAAATAATTTTAATTTGCATAATAAATGAAGCATCAGAATGTGATTATATTATCAAATGTGATTTTTTAAAAAATTTTTATCTGAATAAGGAATAAGAAAAAAATGAGTAAGCATGAAAATATGGGATTACTATTTAAATATTTTAAAACTAAAAAGTGAAAGTAACAGTTAGTCAAAATTCCGACAGGGCTAAGTTTTAAGTAGACCCTATTAGATTCAAGTTGTGGGTTGATTCTAAAATGCCTGTCCTGAGAGGTAAGTTCTATTTTGCTTTACTGCCACCTCAGCAGTTGTGGCATGGATCAGTGCATGTGCACACGTGTCTCTGACTGATAGTCTGTCTCCTGACTCCATTACAGCCAGATTGTGTTTTGTTTACATGTTAAAAATGGTGCGTAGCATTTTTAAAAAGTGCTTGAAGATGCTTATTTTTGATAAAAGCCCTTAAAAGTGCTTTTTTTTATTGGGTGTTTTTAAAAAAGTGCTTAATTTTCCCTTTTCGAAAATGAGATTTTTTTATTTTGCCATGCCGATTTTTGCCACAGATTATAAGCATGGTTTTCACATTGTTCTCTACAACATTTTCATAATTCATTCAAACACAATGCATTTCAGCATACTGCCATCACATATGAACGTGCCAATTATTTGACATGTTTGAGGAAATACTTGCGGATCCGCATGTCTGTATATTGAACTGGATGTGGTTAGATACTTGCACTGTCACATGCAACTCTGTTGCATTTTGCGAGATGTTCTCAATTTCAGGATTTAATTTTCCACCCTCTAAAATCGAACCGAAGAATCACTCTCTCTTTTTATGCTTCCTAATATGAGCAAGAAAAGAGTTAAAGAAATTTTTTCTTGAACTAGTCAGGAACTAGTTATTATTCTATTACTCTTTTCAGAAACTAGTTATTTTATCATGATCATGAAATTTCCGTGAGAATTATTTTGCATTTCGTTAGTCTATATAGTGCTTAAAAATACTTTTTTTAGTGCTTAAAAGGTGTTTTTTTGTTGTTGCTAGATTTGGCTACGCACCCTGTTATAGTAAGTGTTCAAAATATATAAGTCTATTACTGATCCCGCAACTGTAAAGTGCATCCTGTGATCCGGTTTTTGTTAGCAAGGAATGGAGCCCATTTTAATTCTTTCTGTCGAGACTGTCTTTGTTGTGAATCAGTTTGTGCCCTATTGCTTCTTCATGCTTTTGCTACACATGCTTAAGTTTTTTGTGTTAATTGAAGTATTGTATGTCTTAGGCTAAACATTTTGTTAAAAAATTTGATTGCATCAAACCCTAATTTCTATATTAATGTATCCTATCATTACTATAATGTATGCAATAAATATTCACACAATACAGTTTTTATTTTCAGCTTTGCTTTGTTGTTTCTTAATTGACTGATGTATGTTACAGATTTTTCAGATTATTCTACAATAATTCATATTGGTGTGTTTGAGTCTTAACGAAAAAGTTTATTGAGCTATTTTCGTATTCACAATTCTTGATTACTTTTCTAATTTTTTCTTAGAAATTTCTGGAGACTACAATTTTTTTGCTATTTCCTCTCTTTCCTTTTTCATCAAAAATATAGAAATTCCCTAGCAAACAAAAAAATAAAACAAATTCCATAACAAAATTGTTTTTTTTTTTATAATATATAAGACTAATGTGTTATAACCATTTTTTTAATTAATGTATGCATTAATAAATTCTTATTATAAATGTTTAATGTAGTGATTTTTATTAGCGTTTAGAAACAAGGAAATTTTTTTAATGAAAAGTAACATTTAAAAAAAGCACCTTCATTTTAAACTGAAGAGTTTACTGAAATGAGCTTTTGTTAATTAGTTATCGGAAGTTTAATGTTAATGGTATATTTTCTGAAGGAAAAAAAAATTCATTATTTTGAAAATTTGAATTGAAAGCCTCTTTAATTTCCTAAAGTAATATATTAGTTTATTTTCCCCTTTCTGTTATCCCCCCCCCCCGATTCTTACTAGGCTAGCCATTTTAGTACAAGATCTGAGACAGATTTTTGTCTGGTAACCTGCTAACGAGATATTTTCCTAAAGAGATATTTTCCTTCATATAAAATTATTTTAAAGTAAATTTATAGAAAATTTCATATGGCAGTTATTTTTAACGAAAACTACCTTCTATTTCCCTATTGACATAGTTAGTTTATTCTTTTGCAAATTTTGATGCTCTCAATTTTTTTTCTTGTCTTGTTTGTACATTCTAAAACTTATCTCTTTTGTAAAAAAAACAGAGGTGCCTTGTCGAATTTTTCGATATTCAATAGGCATCTCTTCTTTTTCTCCCTATTTTTTTCTGTAATTTTTTTTTTTTCAATTTATTTCAAATTTAGATTCTGAATTCTTAGAAGAGGTTATCCTCCTATTCAAAGTGAAGTATAAATGACTTAAACTTAATTTGTCATTATCCTGTAAAGATTGCATTCAGGCTTAAAAAAGTACTACCAGATTTGGGCTTTTCTTGCTAGTGCAAAATTTCTTATAATACACTACTATTATTCAAACTAAAACTACTGTGATTTAAATTATTATTTTAAAAAAATCTGGTATTTTTTTTCATTAAAGCTGCTTTTTTTTAGCTGTTATAAAAATCTTTGTTGCTCTTTGAAAAAGAATAGCATGTTTTATTTATTTGTTTTTTTACAGATGTCTCCAAACACTATCAAGAAGAAATGCCAAAATTTTTTGAGCACACTCATCAGATTAGCCGGTGATGAAACAACGAAAACTGCCTCCAACGTCAAGAAACTCATACAAAATCTGATTGTTAGTATTCATTCCTAATTAAATGTTTCATTTTATCAGTTCTTTCATGACAAATGCATTGCATTTTTCTTTTGAGTTACTGTCACGGTTACAAAAAAAAATTAATAGATATAATTTAGAGAGTAATTTAACCCTACCCTAAAACCCTAACCCGAAAGACCTATTTTCTGCGCTTGTCGTAGGGATATGGAACTTTCAACTGTATTTACAAAAGTCTTATCTTAAGTGTAAAAGAAGCAAAACAAATTAATAGTGTTAGAGAACTAACAATTTTTAAAACATGGAATATTTTTAATCCTGTTAAATTTCAGAAGATTAAAACTCCACATCAAAATGCATATTGTTCAACTCTAATTAATATCGATTTTAATTTAGTGTTATTAACAATGTCAACTAATCATAGGTGAATGTAATGTGAAATATATATCAATGTGAAATATCATCAGCAAGTTTTTCTTTATTTAGACAAAGCTTAAAATGTGTGTTTAAGAAATAATTGGTAAAAGTGATTGACTTTGAATTGATCTCATGAAGAATGTTTTTTAAAACCAAGTACAATCAATACAAAGCAAAAGTCCTGTACTCCAGGATTGGCAAAAGCAGGTATATCACAGATGTTACTTTTCAGGCATCTCTTTGTATTTAGTACACTAACCAATAAAGTGGTTATAAAAGAAACTAATTCCTACAATGTCTTCATGCTGCATTAATTTTCTTAAATGCAAATTTTAAGCTGTGCTCATTATCTTAAACATGCATTTTGAGTTACATTAGAGTAACTAAACATGAATTAATTTTTTAGGATGGCACTATTGAACCTGAGGAATTTTCTACTCAACTGCAAAAAGAGTTGCATTCAAACCATCAGCCTTATTTAATCCACTTTCTCAAGGTAACATTTCTTTCACACTTTTTTATGTTATCTGATAACCCATTTTTTTCATTTTATTTTCTAAATTCTAATTCTAAGAATCCTGCGGTGGACTGATCGTTAAGTCACGGTTCCAATTACTTCACCTTTAACAATTACTTTAAACTTTCCACCGCGAAAAAAACGAATTTATAAATTCTTTGTTCATAACACGATGAGAAATGACTTCCTTGCTTTGCAATTCATTTAAGTTATTATGAAGCATTAAATCTACATAAAATTTTGACTTTGATACGTAAAAGTGCTGGTTTTAATAGGAACAGGCAATCAGTTCATAATGTCTGTTGTCCCGCAATGGACTGATCGTTAAGATCACCGAAATCAAGCATCACTGGCTGCGGGTGGGTGACCACTTGGATCAGTCTGCTTAGGGACCAGGGGTGTGTGGTATTGGTCCTCGTTAAATTGTTCTACCGTAAAGTGCTAGACTTTGCTTGCAGGTTGTCGGGCCACTGAAGCGGGGGTGCCTTCAGAGGATCAAAATTGTGATGGCATGTCTTCGGATCATCCTCAGGGATGTTTCACAGACCGTCACCAATAGCCCATTGTGCAGCTTCTAGTGCAGCGTCAATGAACTACAACTAAGAATCGACGCACATGGGTGCCACTCTTCAGTCCTGGGGACTGAAATCAGTCTTGAGAAAAATCAATGGATTAATAATTTCTGTTAAATTAAATTTTCTTTTTTTTTTTCTTCCTTAGAAATTTAAAAAAATTTTTGGTCAAAATAAAAAAATAATATATCTTATGAAAATATATGATTTGGTAATGATGTCAGGACTTTTATTTATCTTCTTTTTATCAGCTTCACTAAATCTTATTCTTAAAGTCTTGACTAACGGGATTGATTGAACTTCATCTACTTATGTAATTAAATTTGCACTATTGCTGAATCTAAACCTCCACCATAACCTATTGTCATGCTGGCCAAAGTTAAATCAAGATTATTTTTTTAAAAAAGAAGTTATAGTGATAGAACAAAACATACGTAACAGTGAAATGAAAAATAGAGATATGAATGGTTTCAGGTTATTCAGTAATAGTTGTTAAAAAATATGCAAGGTTGGCTGTTATTTTCGTTTTGTTTGCTAAAAAATCATAAAATAAAGAAAAAAATTTAGAAAAGATAATCAAATGATTGATTTGATGAATGTAGGCTAATATCAAGGAAAGGTAAATTTTGGTGTCAGTGAGCTATAAATCTCTAAAAGTTTGGTAAACAACGCTAGATAGTATTATTTGGTCAAAAAATAAGTTCTGTCTTAAAATTTTTTTAGAGTGGCACCCCTGTCGACACATAGTCTTGCTTTAATTTAAGATTAATTTGCAATTTTTTTTTCAATGTAGTGTTGAGTATTTTCGTATGGAAAATGTACTCAAATATTGTATTTTGATTTTTTTAAACTTAACCATACCATTTTCAAGATAACAATAAAATTTCTGAGAAAGCAAAATTTCTAGACAAACATTCCTTAACAACCACGGTTCGCCAAGGTGGGCCCAGCCCTGAAAAAGCCAGTGCAGTGCTTTTATAAATCCTACTTAAACGATCTTATTACCCACCAATTTTTTTTTCTTCACATCTCATCATTTCCAAACAATTTTCTTCATATAATTAAATTATTGATTGAATATAAATACATATAGTAGATATAGATTATTCCTGATATGTTCATTCATGCATAATTATCAATTAAAAGTAATATTTCTCTATGTCTTTTAAAATTGTAAATTATGTACTTGGAATAAAGAATAAACACTTAACAACAAAGAAAACTATTCGTGCATTTAAGAATAGAGATTAATGTACCAAATGCTACAAAAAGTTGTGCAGTTCATTCCATGAATATATACAATGCTTCTTGAAATTCCATTCATTCCTTTTAAACCAAATTGCAGGTTTATTTGTAATTTAATGTTAATCGCGTAGCATATTAAGCTTTTTATTTTACGAATGATTTCAGTAACTTCATTATGCAATTCATTATACATATAGAACGCAGAAAAGAAAGACTGACATAATTATCCTCATAACCTTTTCTTTTGTCAATCCTTTTGATAATAATCAAGTAATATTTTTTTAGTTCATCCTATATCTTGTTCTTATATTTAGTATATATAATTTTGCATTTAGAGTATTTAAATTTTAAAAAAATTAAAAAATAAGAACTTGTCTCTGGGTAAAATTGGGTCTTTTAATGAAGAAACGCATTTGGGCTGTGTTTTTCTTAAAAACCTACTTTTCTGCAAACCCTGAACAATCTCTTTTAAAAAGACAGTAAAGCTAAAATAAGATAAGACTATTATTTGCCTCTTAACATTAGAGAGCCACGCGAGAATTCAGTGTACATTTATTGGTATAGTCATTAAAAAAGTTTTGGTAGAAATCTCAAAAAAAAGAAACCTCAGATTTTTCTAAATTAGTTAGGCTTCAGTGTTTTCCATATGCTATGCTGCCTATTTTATTATACTTTTATGTGAAAGGATTTAATGGTAATGCTATCCATATTAATCTGCTTTTTTTTTTTTTTTTTTTTTTTTTTTTTTTTTTTTTTTTTTTTTTTTTTTTTTTTTT